GGTGTCAAAATGCCCATGACCGCATCTCTCCAGGATGTTCTGTCAGGACCACACCCTGCCCCTCAGTCCCAGGCTGGGGCAGGAACGGTCTGGCTAATAACCCAAAGGCCCGGTCAGCAGTTACCCCACGAGAGATCCTGCTTCCCCAGCTCCACCAGGGCTTACCCAGTCGCTGGGACCGGTCACTATTGGAGATGGGCCTGGGGCACAGAACTCTGATCCCAAGCTGGATTTCTACCCTTTCCCCAAAGATTGCGGTGTTGGGATGTGAGGGTTGGTCTCAGGTCCACCTCTAATGGACCCAGAGATGCCAATAGCACAAGGGACCGGTCCTGGCAGCAAAGCACATCACCTCCTAGTGGGTATGTGCAGTGAGTCTTGTGAAAGTGCTAAGAAGGGGATAGTGGACAGTGGAATCCATTCTCCAGAAATCCTAGGGGGTGGGGGGTGAAAGAGAGAGTGCGAGAGACTTCCTAGGCTCCCTGATCTGGCGCATGCATGATGAGTCGATACCAGAGATGGGGCCATCCAGCAAATTTCTGCTTTGGATTTGAAATACCCCAAGGGCAAGGGATGTTTGGCCTTGTGACTTTCTTTTAGCGCATTATACAGATGGGAGCTGGTGAGTAGATTCAGATCCAGGTTTGGATTCAAAACCCCTGCTAAATTCCAGGGGCTTGAGATCCAGGGTTTTGGTCTGGGAAAAGGCAGGTCTCTCTTGATGGAAATGGGGCACCAGGAAAGAAAATATGTGGGGAGTAACTAAGGGCACTAACATTAAAAAGACTGAAACAAGGAAAAGATCAAGGGGCCAAATTGTAAGAAGTAAAGAAGTGACCTGTGTGTGCCTAGCCCTGTAATGACACTCATTCATATTTAAGCACTTAAGTAACTTTGGCCTGATTCCAGAGTGGATGAGCACCCACAGCTCCCACTGAAGTCAATGAGACTTCAGCAACTCTTAGAACCAAGCCACTCATTCAAGTGCCTACATATGGACTTAGTTGTTCAACTTTAAGCAATCTATTTTGAACATTTTGGCCTTGGGGTAAATGAGAAGGAGAAGGGCTCAGTTCTGATGGGAGCTGGGTAGGTGACTAGTCCCAAATTGTTTCTCTTAGGAAGAGAGAGCGGTTGAAACGCAGCTGCCGCCTTAGTTAAGAGCAGTTGAAAAGTGGTATCACACTGGCAATGAATCACTGGATGTCACAAGGGGGTGGCTCCCTCTTTCCATTGCCTTCCCTCTCACACCTGCCACTGGAGGCTGGCTGAGTGGGGGGCCCTGTGACAATGTCCTGGAACAGTGTAACATTTGTGATATAATAGTGGAAATTCACAGGCCTCACAAAAAGAACAGGAGTACTTGTGGCACCTCAGAGACTCACGAAGTTATTTGAGCATAAGGCCTCACAGTGCATGAGAATCTTCAGCCTACACCGAGCGAGACAGCATGAGTGTGAATGACAGCAATAGCGAGAGAGACAGGCGCCCATCCACAAAGCCCAGGGGACCCAGTGGGGCAGGTCACTGAGTCTGTTCTCCTCCCAGATCAGGAGCTAGGAGGAGCCCCTGTCTTGCTCCAATGGTAATGAGCTCACTTGCAGCCCTGAATACTAAGATAATTTGTATAATCAGCCTTATGCTTCAGGGCTTCAGCTGGCCAACTGCAGAGGACAGGATGAAATTTTGCCTCCCAGATGCACAACTGATCAGCTGCATTATAGGTGTTTTTTCACCTTCCTCTGAATCATCAGGTTTGGGCCACGCAGAACAGTGGATGAAAAGGACCAGTGCTCTGAGGCAGTACAGCGAATGCTCTATTCCTAGAGGCTTGGCTCATGTTCAGGGTCACACTGATCACCGGGTTTGGGGTTGGGAAGGAAGTGGCAGATTGGCAGGGACCCTGGGAGTTCTTTCACGTTCCTCTGAAGCATGGACCGGGGATCCCCCTGTTAGGATCATCGGGGCCTATCCTGCTTAATCAATTCTCTGCCATCCCTGAGGCCTCAGGCACTGCTGGCCCCTCGGTCTCTCCTGTTCCAGATGGAGACACAACACTTTAGTTTCTTGAGGAGAAGATCGTTGGCTCTGAATTGGTCAGATAAAATCTGTTCGGAAGACACTGAAGTGAGTTGTGTTTTCTCTCTCATTATTTACAAAGTGGGGCTCAGAGGGTGGGGAATTTAGCCCAGTGCATCATTGGTAAAGTTGGGAAGAGAACCCAGAAATCCTGCCACTACCAGGCGCTAGCCCTGAGAGCTGGAGCATTGTCAGCTGAGGCAGAGACTGTTCAGGCTCCAGAGAGGAGAAGGAGGCTGAAGAACGGCACCCACGAGAGAGAAGCAGCCCCGTCAGAGCAGGAGCAGTGAGCGCAGCAGCAGCGCCAACTCCCCAGAGAGGAAACCGAGCAAGAGCAGAGTGGTGATAAAGAACAAGTTAAAAATTCAACGTGGGGCAGCAATGAGGGGACGGGTGCAGCTGCAGCCCCCACTGTCAAAGGCCCCCCTCAACACCCTGAGCAAGGAGGGGCAGACAGTGGGTCCGGGGAACTTGAGAAACTGTGGCCAACCCGAAGGGGGGTGGAATTGTGGACCCTTCATAATGCTAAGGGCCTCCTCCTGACAGAGCCAGGACTGGGGCAAAGTGCCTATGCAGCTGAGAGACGGGCTGTAACAAAGATACCGAATGTCCATGAAAGCTCATGGTGGATGAGTGAGTGAGTGAGGTGCAGAAAGAGGGCCATGGAAAGGCGCTCTGAGCTAGGGGTACAGTAGTGTACGACACCATGGGGAGGAAGTGGGGAATGGACAGTTCCTAGAGCAGCTCTTGAGGGCTCATCTCGAAGGATGCATCCATCCAAGAGGCTTCTCTGGAAAACCCTGGAAAGAATGAATGGAGGTGGGGAGAGAACAGGATCATAAGGGCAGGTCCAGGCAAAGGTTCAGTGATCAGCCAGTGAAACCACAGCCTGAGGCATCTCCAGCCCACCCTGAGAAAGGTAGAACAGCAGTAAGAGAAATGCTGGGTCTTCCAAAACCTGGGCCATTTTTTCATACAATTGGCCAATTTGGCCAACACAGAAAAAGAGGCCTGAGACAGGTCCCAGGCAGTGGATTCACGGATTGTAATCTTCAGTGTCGAGTTGGAGATCATACAGCCCAGGAAAAAACAAATCTTTTTAGCAGTTGCATGTTAATGGGAATCAGGTACCAGGGCTGTAGGGCAGAGGCGCTGAGAGAGCCCTGGGCTGGATTCAGCCATTCCAAATACTCCCCTCCCAGGGGTGGTTTACTGGGGTTCCAGGGCACGTTCCCCGAGCTCAGGTATTACTGGGCTGGGAAGGAGTCAAAGGGGGTCAAAGAAAGGGGTTTGACGGTGACCACCCTTTAATGAACAAGGGCCGGGTTCAGTATCTAGGGGTTCCTTTTCAACAATACAACACAAAACCAGCTCGAGCCCCCACCCAGTGTCCTGGGACAATTACACACCACCCCCTGGGCGCCTCTAAGAGGCAATACTTCCCCTCTCACTAGCATAGAGTCTGGTTGTAGCAATAACTTTTAATAAAAGGAGGGAAGTAACTCAGCATTAATTTGGGAAAACACTGCAACTAGGGTTCATAAACACAAACCAGGAGCAAAAGACCCACCCCCAAGTAAGTTGGGCAGTGTCCCTTTCCCCTCAGGGTCTTAAGTCCAGCAACCCAAAAGTCCCTTCAGCATGCCTGTCCCTTCTCTGCACCCCCCTCACGGTTGCTGTCCTTGGCCAGTGTAGCCCCAGAGGGCAGGGTGTTGGGGTGTTGGGGGAGGAGTGCGGGGTCCCAGCAGCGCTTACCGCAGCTCCCAGGAAGCAGCTGCCAGGTCCCTGCAGCCCCTAGACGCATGGGCAGCCAGAAAGGCTCCGTGCACTGCCCTCACGCCTGCAGGCACCGCCCCTGCAGTTCCCATTGGTCGTGGTTCCTGGCCAATGAGAGCTACAGAACAGGCACTCAGGGCGGGGGCAGCGCCACGGAGCCTCCCTGGCTGTCCATGCGCCTAGGGGCCACAAGGACCTGACGGCCGCTTCAAGGAGCCACGTGGAGCTAGAGCAGGCAGGGAGCCTGCCTTAGCCCCTGACCCCTGTTGTGCTGCCGACCGGACTTTTAACGGCCCAGTTGGCAGTTCCGACTGGAGCCGCCAGGGTCCCTTTTCGACCAGGTGTTCCAGTCGAAAACCGGAGGCCTGGCAACCTTAGTGCTAGCAGAACATATCGAAAGAGGAACCTGAGCTCAGATCGAGACCTGGAATTCAGATCGAGAACCTGGGCTCACATCAGGAACTCAAATTCAGATCGAGAACCCGGGCTCACATCGGGAACTCGAATTCAGATCGAGAACCCGGGCTCACGTCGGGAACTCGAATTCAGATCGAGAACCCGGACTCACGTCGGGAACTCGAATTCAGATCGAGAACCCGGGCTCACATCAGGAACTCAAATTCAGATCAAGAACCCAAGCTCACGTCGGGAACTCAAATCAGGTCGAGAACCCGGACTCATGTCGGGAACTCGAATTCAGATCGAGAACCCAGGCTCACGTCGGGAACTCGAATTCAGATCGAGAACCCCGGACTCAGATAAAAAACTCGAATTCAGCTCAAGAACCTAGGCTCTGATGCAATGGGCAACGCGAACTCCTCCTGCAGTCCTCAGCCTGAGCAGCTCTTGTGCCTGCTGTCGGTGGGCCCTGCGCCCTGCTTTGCGCCTCTCAGGGAAGATGAACTTTGCAGATGCCCCCTAACGCCTCTGCCCCGCGGCGCGGCTGGGCGGGCAGCGTGCCAAGCTGTGCGCCGCCCGTGGAGCTGCTATAGACTCCAGCCCCGTCACCCCACCACCCTCCCACCTTTGCTCTGCGCCTCTTCTGGAATCGAACTTTGCAGACGCTCCCTACCCCTGCGGGTCCCGGCCGCGCTGCGGAGGGGGCGGGGCCGCGCGCGGGTCACTCACTCAGGTAAACAGCCAAGATGGCGGCGGCGGAGGCCGGCGGGATGGGCCTCACCGACCTGCCCGGGGAGCTGCTGGAGCTGATCCTGTGCAGTGGGGTCCTGAGCGCCGCCGACATCGGCCGCGTCTCCTGCACCTGCCGCCGGCTGCGGGAGGCGTGCCAGGCCCGCGGCAAGGTCTGGCGGGAGCGCTTCCGCCTCCGGTGAGCGCCGAGCCGGGGGGGCGGTTCCGACCCAGCCGGGGGGGGCAGAGCCGGGGGGGCGGGGGTTCCGACCGAGCCGGGGGGGCGGTGGTTCCGACCCAGCCGGGGCGCGCAGGGGCAGAGGCGGGGGGGCGGGTCCCGCCCCGGCGGGGGACAGGGGCGGGGGAGCCGGTTCCGACCCGGGGGGCGCCAGGGCAGAGCCGTACTTCCAGGGTGCTGAAATGTGGAATAAACTGAGTTGAGTGAATAATTTCTGATTCTGGGGCTGAACCAAAAAATCTGGGGGGAAAATATTTAAAAATATTCACTAGTTCCGTTTTTTCATGCCAACCTCCATCCCCATAATTTTTTGTTTCAGGTTCAACAAAACATTTTGATGGACCCAAAATGTGGTGGTTGTTTTTTTGTTATTTTTTAAATTTCCTTTTGGGTCATTTTTAGGTTTTGCTGCTATTTGTTAAAAAATCGTTAAATTTCTAGTTAAATTCCTTTTCATTTTGTTTTGCCAAAGCTATTAATCAAATTTGACCTGAATTAATGAATAGTTTCTGTGTTTTAAAAAGTGCATTTTTGGCAAGTTTACTATTTGCTGGAGATTTTTTGCCCAGCTCTAGTTTGGGGGGGGAGAGAGAGAGATTAGAGGGCAATGATGCACCTGTCAGATGGATGTGACTCAGTGCAACTCACTCCAGAAATTTTGGTGATAAAATCCAATAAACAGGACATGTTATTCTTAGGTGACCCTATTTTCTCTGAATCAAAAGCATCGTACTCAACGTGATTGTCATGTGAAGAAGTGTACATATAGACGAATGCCCTTTTAGTAACATAAGAAATGTTACATTTGTTTTTGTAATTGGGAGTCCATAATGTGTATTGCATCTGAAGACTGTTGCTCAAAACAACCACCAAAGCTTGTAAAATATCTTTTGCTGACCTCTGATGGAAAAGACAAAGGGCTAATTAGGGAACTCTTCTGCCCTGCCCCATCCCACCCCAATCCATTACTGTATTTGGTAACCCATAGTGAGCAAGTGAACCAAACTTCGAGATTCTAGCTTGGTGAAACAAGGAAAATAACGTTGTCAGTCACTCCCATCACGAGCATCGGTCGAAATAGATAAGTATGTGTGTAGTTCAGAAGTCTTTCAGTATAAGCTATTGTCAATAAAATTAGTTTTGAGGGCTGCCAAATTGGGTAGTGCAATCGATTACATCTGCTTGTTTCACTTTCTCAGCAATCATAAACTCAACAGATAAAAATGTTCTCAAATTAATTTTTAACATATAAAATTGAACGCCTATAAAATTTCAGTGTGAATATACAATGTACTGTTCCAAGGGCTCAAAATCACTATATAATCTGTGATAAATCTCTAGATGAATCTCTGTAATTCACTAAAGCTACTGGGCTTTCTAGATTAGAATAAATTCATTTGCTACCTGGTTTTGTTCATGTCTTGGCACAAAAAGATAAATTGTGTTGCTTTCTCTAACTGCCAGCTGGCTTCTAAAATTTAGGTTAGTAAATGAAACTCTTGTTTCTCCACCTCTGAAAGAGGCTACTGAACAATAGCTAGTTCATCAATTCAGCAAGCTATGACTTTGGATAGGTAGCCAGATATGTTAATCAATTCAGTAGTTATAATTTCAGGAGCAAGCCTGAACTTTTAGAATGGTTCAGAGTCATTCTTGAAATTGATTATGGTGAGTGATTAGTAGATGCTCATGTTGCAGTAGCATCCACGTCTTTGATAATAGAACTTTTGGCAAGAGTTTAGATGTTGACCTTGTAATCCTGGCCAGATTCCATTTTGAGTATTTACATTTTATCTCTCTCAAATTCTCCCTGTAATTTTAGTTGGACAAATTATTCTTTACTTACCATCCTAAAATAAACAGTTGTTAGTATTGTTGCAATGTGGCTGCATTTTAGTCATGGGTGAGTAATTGGGGATCCATTAAAATGAAAGGTACTATAGAAATACAAATGTATTTGGCTAGCCTCTGAGTTTGTGTGCCAGCAAATTCAGGGTAGCCTTATTTTTAACTAATACTAAAATATTCTCCATATGTTTTAGTTCAAACAGTATTAGTTACACATTGACTTGGTTAATATCTATTAAATAGAAATAAAACATGTCATTCATTACTTTAAGAATCTGAACACATTTTATTTAAGGCAAGTTATGTCATTGCTTGAGGAAAACCTAGATTTTTACTTTTCAGATTTGTGACAGGAAACAAGGGTGCATGAAAACCTGTAACATTCTGATAAAATTTTAAAAATAAATATTAAAAATTACAGCAAGTTACAAGTAACCTCTTATCTTAAGAAACCGCACACAATATTTCCAGCTGTACTGAGTGCAATTCTGCTTCATCTTTTAAACACCTTCATTAAGCAGCTGATTTTTTGTGAGCAGTCATGGGTATCGCTGTGCTGGTTCCTATTCTCTTACACTGGGTCTGCCACGGAGCAGGTGTCTCAAATGATGCCAGTTTATTGGGAAAAGTGCTTTTGTCAATACTAGCCTCAGACATATCAGTTGCAGTTGACCTTTCATTTCAAATACATTTTGTGGCTTAGAGATAGTGAGAAGGGCTTCGTGCTTTGTTAGCTTTCAAACTGAAGGGCTGATCAAAACAAGTGCATCTTTAAGTTTGTGTACTTTAAAAGTACTTGCAGAAGCCGTTAGTAAGATCTGATTTCAGAATTCTGTGATTTTCCTGCAATAGTTGATGTCATTGTTTACACCTAACTCAGTATCCAGAGCTACATTCTGCATACCCTTTTAGTTAGAGATCTCAGCTGTAGCAGGAAAAACATAGGGCAATGAATTCAAGTCCTGTTAGTTGAGAACAATGTCACCTTTAAGCTGTTTTGTCTTTAATATTAGAAAATATATGTAGTTTAAAACTATAAGCTTATTCTCTTATTGATCTGAGGACTTAAAATTATTTTGTAAAGCTTTAGGGGGAGATTCTCAGAAGTGCCTAAGATATTTAGGAACATAAGTCCCATTCAAGTCTCTGATATCTGTGCCTCTTCAGCACTTTTTCCCGTAATGCTTACTTTGTGTTTACTGTAATTTCTTATGATCTAACCAGAAATAATCAGACTGGAGGGGAACAGGAATTATACTCTGCTTCTTTTACTTCAGAATGTGGATGAATTTTAAAAATATAACTTGTCTTGACTTAGTCTCAGGAACTCAAGTCACAGATGGTTAACTGCCTAGCAATAAGTAACATATTTTACAATATTAAACTGTCTTGTGGAGGCTGCAGTATTAACCACTGAACCTGTTCTGTGTGTGCGATATAGGTGGCCATCACTACTGAAGTACTATAGCCATACAGACAACGTCAATTGGCTAAAGGAATATAAAGCACGGCACAATGCCGGCTTAGAAACTCGACGAATTGTAGCATCATTCTCCAAAAGATTCTTCTCAGAACATGTAAGGTTTCTAATTTATTATACACTTGAAAATAACCTAGCCGTTTGTGCACTAGTATCTCTTACTTCATATTTCTTGTCGTCGTCTTCTCGCTCTGAGGCTGAATCTTTACATTTCCTTCTAGCCATTATTCTTATGATTTACTTGTTTTGCAGTAGCATCTAGGAGCCCCAGTCATGGACCAGGACCTCATGTGCTAAAGTGCTGTACAAACATAGAACGAGAAGACTGTCCCTGTCCAATAGAGCTTCCAGTCTAAGTATAAGAGAAGCGAGAACAGATGGATATGAGGGGAAGTACGAGGAAACAATGAGACACTATTGACCAAATAGACCAGATGGATGTAGGGTAGGGGAAAGGGTGTAACACGTAAGCAGAGTGAAAAATATGATGATGGTAGATGGCATGTTAGTTCCATGATTTTTTCCCCCTTGGGTGGGTTTACTTAGGAGGGGAACCGCTAAAGGGAAAGGAAGGGGATAAGGCAAGGGAGGAGGGACAGGTGTGGACTGAAGTTGATGTCAAGGGACTTTGCGGGGGCGGGAGTAGGAGCAAACAGACAATCAGCACAGGGCAGAGAAAGTCAGAAGTTGGAAACATACTGATCCTTCAGAAGCAGCTATCTCATTCTTTTCAGATTAGTTGGCTCTGCCATTTTTATAGATTGTGTGACAATGTGTTCTCATAAGTGGAGGGTACTGGGGCTAGACCAGCATTTTTAAAGAAATAATATGGATATAATCAATAGACACACAAAGCACTATGTTTTACAGTAAGTAAAAGTAACTTAAGTATTTTCCATGTCCATTTCTGTAGCATTTGTGAACTTTTACATACACTGTAAAACTAACAGGACCACTATGTCACCCACATCAGGAATTCCTGCCCTGTTACTTGTTTACTGGGGCCCATGGCTGGTCATTGATGTTTACTCAGATGCATCTTTCATCATAGCTGGAAGACTGCAAAACTTCAGGTCACTTGAATTATTGGAGGCCTAGTACTATAGATGAGCACCCTCCAATGAGAACTCTCAGTTGCCAGGCCTGGAAAATCTGTTTTCAGTTCAATTTCACTTGTATACACAAAGTATTAAATAGGGTCTTGAAACTTCTTTGAAATTACCTATTTCTGCTTGAGAAAGTAAACTCTTCAGTAGTGTATAACACAGTGTTCTGTTTGCAGGTCCCCTGTGATGGCTTCAGTGACCTTGAGACTCTTGGGTGCCCGGGTCATTTTTTTGAGGACGAGCTGATGTCTATCCTTAACATGGAAGGAAGGTGAGAGAAAAATTAAAGGAGTTAGAAATGGAAGTGGAAAAGACTAATTTCATGTTTGCTGAGTGGAGGTGAATCCTAAAGTGCTGAATGCACTCCGGTCAAATTCAGGCTCATTTCATCCTCCCTCATTTAAAATAGATAAATGTCACAGCCTAATAAATCTCAGCATTATGAAGTTTATCTTGATATTCACCTTCCTTTCCCTTAGGTAGTAGCTGTCTCTTTGTTTTTAAACTTCAGAGCAAGCTTAATGGAAATAACTTTCCAGAGGGAAAACACTTGAAATATTCTACAATAAGCATGGCTTTTGGCACAATGTGCTTGTAGTCCTTTTGTTGCTTTTCTGGTTTTTGGTAGGGAAGTGCAGCGTACAACTTTTTTTGTCCTGAAATCAGCTTGTTTGAGCCACTACAAAATGCACTCTTTGCTTATATTGCATAAATACAAGCGTGTTACATTGATCACTTAAATTAAAGGTAGAAACAAACCAATACACCTCTGGTTCTTGTCTGTGTAAATATTTTTGTTGCCATTGTTAATCTCTGGAGCCGTGAAGAGGTGAGCATTATCATTCAAACAAGGGTCCATTACAGTGCTGTGCTATCAGTGACATACAAACAGTAGAATGCTGCTTCTGTTGTGATTGAAATGACAGTAGATTTCTCTTAATGTTGCCTGGTAGCCTGTTGTCCTGATTAAAGGGACTGTTTGAAAAGACATAAACTAGAATGAAACTATTCATTTAATTTTCTCTTCCCATTTATTTTGTTACTTCTGTGTTGAAATGGTGGCTTTCATTTCATATTTGACAACTGGTTAAACACAATTTGAGCCTTTGCACTCGCCAAATGCATTCCCATAAAGCAGAATTCATGCTAATTACACCCTGATTGAGCTATAGTCCTTGCCATTCAATATCATTAGGCTAAATCGTTTCCCAGGAAAATGTTCCAATAAAGCGGCTGTCCCTATGGAGCATCCTGATTAATTAGTGGAGGATAAAGTAGTATGGGATTTGATTCTTTCAGTTGGCAGGATGCAGAAGAGTTGCCTGGTCTATGGCTTGGGGGGGAAGGAAGAAGAGAAGGGAATTCTCTTCAAGGAAGCAATTCAAATGTGTTTCAATGGAAACTCCACAACATGAAGAAGGAAGCCAGACTGAACAGCGACATTTATTTTCTGAGCAAATGTAAGAAACAGTACATTCCAGAGGACTCGCCATCTGTAACCCTCTGACCACTCCATACAACTTCATATACGCTGGACAGCTCTGTAGAAGGACCTCAGAAAACTGAGAAGTCATTTTCTGTACCTTACATACTCCAGAAGAGACCACCTCAAACAATAAATCATCATATGCTCCTACACATTGGAAGAAAAAAAAAATCAGGAGACCTACTAGTGATCATGCAGGAAACACAAAACAATTACTTAAAAACCCCCCACCTCTGACAGCCATCCAACACAAAAACAAAAAGTGAAATCAACTACCACAACTCCACAATGCACAGAATACCACCTCCGGGAGAAACCAAAGACACCATGACCAAACACATGGACATCGAACGACAACCCGTCATCAACCTATCAAGACTACTCCTTACCGGAACTGAAATATCTGTACACTCCAAGAGACTGAATTTCTGCCCCACCACAGAACCTGATACCTTACTAGCATGTGGAGAACTAGAAGAAATCTTCTGCTGACTCCATGACAACACTACTCACAACTACCACAACTCCACTGACAGTCCATAAGAAAAAAAAACCCATCTGATTGGATGCCCCCCCAACGGACAAAACCACACACTGGATCATTACATCAATTGCTTTAAGAAAAAAAAATTGACTCTGAAATCCTCATCAAACGTTATATCTGCCACAATCTCTACCACTGTCTGGATAGCTATACATTCCCTGAAATCCCAACCACTAGATAGTGATCAAACCAGCAGACAAAGTGGGTGCCATGATAGTCTATATGTTGTGATGTGTACCTCACAGAGAAAAACAGATAACTCAGACACTACCGAGTGTAAAGAATTCAAAAAAGACCCCACACCACTGTTTACACAGGAGTTTAATGATACCATCAAATCCTTCCTCAAACAGCTCCAAGAAAAACTTTACAATCTCATCACACACAAACCCAGGGACCTTCCTTCTGCATGCTTCCCAGGATACACAAACGAGGGAACCTAGGCAGACCCATCCTAAATGGCCATGGCGCCTTTCCTGAAGGAATATGAGGACTCATAGAAACCATCCTCAAACCACTTATAACACACAAGTTTCACCTTCCTCTGAGACACAACTGATTTCCTCTAGAAACCCCACAACATTAACAACCTCCCTGAGAACACCATCCTTGCCACTATAGATGTCATCTCCCTATATACCAACATCCCTCACAATGATGGCATTGCTGTCTGCCTTAGATACCCACAACGTAATTTACAACACTCAGAATTCCACCCTAAATGCAGCATCAAACTCCTCCATTTCATCCTCGCCTGCAACAATTTCACTTTTAACAGACGTTTTGTACAAACCATAGGAACAGCCATGGATATTAGGATGCCTCCCCAATATGCCAAACTCTTCATGGGCCACCTTGAGGAAGAACTTTTGGGAAAATGCACCATGAAACCAATGATATACCTGAGATATATCAATGATTTTCATCTTCTGGACAGACAACCTAAACTCCCTCATAGATTTCTACCATAACTTCAACTACCATCACCCATCCATCAAACTCTCTCTAGTGCACTCCCACACCAACATCAACTTCCTGTACATCATGATTAGCTTCAACAGTGGAACCCTACAAACGACTATACAAGAAACCCACAGATGACCACACTTGCCTTGAGAGATCCAGCAATCACCCCAGACACACCAAGAAATGTATCTACAGCCAGTTACTCAGATACTACAGAATTTGCTCAGAAAGGAAAGTGGGATCCATATCTAAACACACTTAAAACTGCCTTCACTAAAGAAGGGCATTCCACCAGAGAAGTAGATTGCATCATGGAAAGGTCCACCCAGATACCCTGGGAGAACCTGCTTCAATACAGAAGGAAAAAACCCACTGACTGCACAGTTGTCACCTGTCACCCTACTTTGGAACCCATATTGGGTATCCTCAAACAGTTACAATCCATATTTGGGAACCACATCCCCAAAGAAATCTTTCCCAACCCTGCTCTTCTGGCCTCCAAACAACTCCCCAACCTCTCCAGGCTCATCAGAAGCAAGCTCCCCACCAACCATGACACACCAACTCAAAGCTGCCAGAACAACAGATGCAAAACCTGCAGATGTACCACCACTGCTACAATGATCGATACACCCCACAACACACCTTTCAAGATTCATGGCTCCTACACTTGCCTTGTCACGTGGCATACATCAACCAGTGTATCAAATGGCCCAACAACAATTGTGTAGGTGAAACCAGACAATTGCTATGCTCTGAAATGAACTCACAGAAAAATGATAAAAGCCAGTGTCCGAACATTTTTCACAAAGCAGTCGCTCCATATATGACCTCTCAGTCCTTGTCCTCAAAGGAAATCTGCAGAACACATTCAAAAGGCGATTTTTGGAAGCTTAAATTCATAATTCTACTAGACACCAAAAATCATGGACTCAATAGAGACACTGTTTTTATGGCTCATTACAACAATTTGTAACACACCACATTGCCTGCTAACCATCAATTGCCCATTTCTTTTAAAATAGTTTCCTACAGCGTGCAGAACCCGATTTTGTTTAGCAATCTGTCCCAACTTGTATTTAGTTCAGACACTCTGTGAGGCTTGAAAGCTTGTACCTTCTACCATCAGAAGTTGGTCCAATAAACACATGGCAGTAATAATGGGTGAAATAAAACTATCGTGAAAACGAATGGAATTCTGCTTTGCTATTCCGGGTCTTGGACTTATCCACTTGTTAACATTCTGGAACAGAAGAGTTTGAGGAAATTGGCAAAGGCCAGTGGTGACCCTGATAGATGTGATTTAGAGTGTCTGTAAATTGGAACTGTTGGCATTTAAAGCCCCTAACCTTGTATGCCTGGGCTGCATTCAAGATCACCTCCTTAAACATCCCCTGATGGTTATTAGATCTTTGAAACAACAGGGCTTGCAGAGATTCCGCCATTACTTGTTAATTTAGTAGGTGATAGGGCCTTTACGTTTTTATGTTTAATTCTACAGGAAGTGTCTAACCTGGAAGTACTATGCAAAGAAAATTCTTTACTTTCTACGACAACAGAATATTTTAAAAAATCTGAAGGCATATCTTGAACGACCTGGGGACCAACTGTCATTTTTGGAAGGTGAGTATTGGCCTGAAAGAAGTCTCATGGTTTATTGTGATGGATTCATGAGGTCTGGTCTATGCCTTACCCTGAAACCCGTGTCCTGGGAGTGTTTCTGCAGTGTGACAGACTCCAAGGATCCACGGGGCAGAGCTGTGGCCTCCACAACTCAGAAACTGGGCTTTCAGGCACCAGCCATCCCTGTCTCTTTCTGGGGCTCCCTGCAGTGAGTCCAGCTAAGCCAGAGTCCTGGGGAAGACTCATTCCCACCCCTTTAGGACACAGTGCTCTGAGGAAGTATCTGCAGTGACACCAGGCAGCCTTTTCAGAACAAGGTAACTATTGATTAATCACGTGCAATACAGAGTCTGAAAGTCTTTAGGTTAGCACGAGAGAGGCAGGATATGGTTCCATGCCCTGCTCCCCTTGTGTTTCCCAGTGCCAGGAGAGAATCTTTTCCTGTTTCAGTGTACCCTGCTCTTAGTACAGACACCTTCCCCCTTTGTTCTCCAACTTGCGGCCTTTGCTCTGCTTTCCTGCAGAGATGTAGGGGGAGTCTCCTCCTTCTTTTGGCTGTCTTTTGGGTGTGATTCTCCCAGGCCATTGGGATTTCCATTGTCTCTTCTGGATAGGGTTGCCAACTGTCCCAGTTTCGCTGGGAGTCTCCGAGAATTGGGCTGTACCTCCCGGTGGCTACTGAAGCCAATCTGGGAGATTTTAGGCCACTAAAAGTTCAGCAGCACAGTGGGGCTAAGGCAGGCTCTCTGGCCCTGCACCTCTCCCGGAAGTGGCCGTCAAGTCCCTGCAGCCCCTGGGCAGGGGGGGAAGGGGGAGGGAAGTGTCTTTGCACGCTTCCCCTATCCTGAGCACTGACTCGGCAGCTCCTATTGGCCAGGAACTGCAGCAGGTAAGAGCAGCACACGGAGCCCCCTGCCCCCCCACCCCTCCAGGGGCTGCAGGGATGTGCTGGCCGCTTCTGGGAGCAGTGCAGGGCCAGAGCAGGCAGGTAGCCTGCCTTAGCCCCGCTGCGCCACTGACGGGGAGCCACCCTCCCACACCCCAACCCACTGCCCCAGCCCAGTAAAAGGGAGTGAGAGTGGGGGGAGAGTGAGCAATGGAGGGAGGGGGGGAATGGAGTGAGCGGGACGGGGCCTCGGAGAAGGGGTGGGGCCTTGTGGAAGGGGTGGGGCAAGGGTGTTTGGGTTTGTGTGGTTAGACCATCGGCAACCTTACTTCTGGATCCTCTGTTCATAAAGGTAGGCTCTGTTCACTTAGTTAATTATTCTGCTCTCCAACCAACAAACAACTTTTCCCTTCCCTTTACCCTCGGGCCATTTCTATGCTACAGGAACTGTAGAGGCATAGCTGTGGTGCCATAGCTATGCCAGCATAATCCCATAGTGTAAGTACAGCAACAGCAGGGTTTTTCCTTTGCTGTAGGAACACCAGCTCCCCAAATGATGGTAGTTAAGTCAATAGAAACATTCTTCCATTTACCTTGCTTTGTCTACGCCATGGGGGCTAGGTCGGCATAGGGTGTCTTTCAGTGCTGTAGCTACATGGACCTAAAACTTCACTGTAGACCAAGTCTCAGTGCATAGCTGTACAAAGGACTGAGGGGAAACTGAGGCACACATACGACTCCTCAAAAAGTTACCAAAATCCCTATGATAGTCACCATTATTAACAAGGTAGTGATTGAATGCTGTCTAGCTCAAACGGACTGTCAGCTGTTCGTATTTTTACTAGATCTTGTTGAGTGATTGAACAATAGATCTGAGCTCTTTAGATAGCTGAAATCCTCAAAACTAATGCTGTCTGCTTGGACTTGTATCGGTGTCAAGACTTCATTTGTTTCTCTCCCTGCTGAGCACTATAATGCTCACAAATGCCTATGGGTGTGACTGGGAAAGCAAAAATACTTGTCAGAGGGCACTGTCTGCCAGAAGGCCTCTAGGAGCCTGATTCAACAAAACATTTAAGCACATGCTTATATCTATCTATGCTTTTGTAGACAAAATACCATTAAACATATGCAGAGGCAAAGCTAGCGATAGCTCACATTAGAGTGCATTTCCTTTGGTCAATTATACTAATATAGCTACCGTACATCTCAGTCCCAGTTTTCAGAACCCCTGGCATCTACTCTTTGAGTCCCATCAGCTGTCTATGGAAATCATGGATCAGACAGATTTTGCCCTTTTTATTGAATGCATTTTAAAAAATCACCATTGTTACTTTGTACATAAAATATAATACTTCTGAATTTTTTTGATGGTAGGAGAGGGAAAGGGCCAAATAACAGTGTATTTAGTTGGCTGTTTTAACTGTATCAGTTAAACCAAGCCAGACTGCAGACATACTCAGTGACGTGACTATATAGTACCTATGTGGTATCTTCTAAGGTAAGATGCACAATGATACCATTTCCCTGTTTTGATTGTATGTTGTTTCAGCATTAACTTTTTTGGAGGTGTGGGAGGTGGATGGGTGGCTTTGTGTTTATTTCTGCACCAGCTTGGCTATTTGTTAGACTATGGAGATGGAAATTTTTTTTTTATTAGGCACCTTGGCCTAAATCAGGGGTTCTCAAACTGGGGGTCGGGACCCCTGAGGGGGTCGCGAGGCTATTACATGGGGGGTCACGAGCTGTCAGCCTCCACCCCAAACCCCGCTCTGCCTCCAGCATTTATAATGGTGTTAAATATATAAAAAAGTATTTAAAATTTATTAGGCTGTCACACTCAGAGGCTTGCTATGTGAAAGGGGTCACCAGTACAAAAGTTCGAGAACCACTGGCCTAAATTCAGCTGTCTGTCTGTATTCAGCAGAGCACTTAAACATATGCTTGAATTAAACACTTTGCTGTAAAAGAGACTCTGATAACTAGAACTGAGGTATATGGTAGCTGCATTATTGTAATTGGTCAAAGTAAATGTGCTTTAATAAGAGTTGCAACTAGTTTTGCTTCTGTATATGTTAAATGATATTTTGTCTAGAAAAATATTTCTGGTGTTTTCACTTTGTCCTCAGATGTTTTAGAATAAATATTTACATTCCATGCGTATTTGGCTAACAGAATTAAGATTAATGTCACTATGAAAGGTTTATTTTTATACCATGTTTTGTAACCTCTTCCTGTATACAAATGAAATCTACATTTATTAACTGTCTTTCAACTTTGTTCCTCAGGGTTACTCTTTGCCAAAGGCATTTGCTGTCATTTCTTTTATCAAGTAATCTTACTTTTCTTTAAAATGTTTGCTCACCGGTGTCGTCTTAGGAGATGCACTTATGTGATTGTCCCAGGGGACAGTATTTATGTAATATCAAGCAGCCTACTTCACTACTGTGTTAGCATAATGTAAGGCACTCACACTACACGAGGCTTCTTAAAAATGAGATGTAGTTTATTTTAAATAAAACCCTAAACACCCTCCTTTTAAAGTTCTAATCGTGGAAACAAGTGCTCTTTAAAGAAAACTTGTGGTATTGCTGGAGACCTGCTTTCCCCAAAGTTCATACTCTTGAGCTACGTCATGTAAGCCTGAAATAGAGAATTATGGAGAGAATATGTTTAGACTTTGGAAGTGCAGGGTTCTCCCAAGATTTGGGGAAGAAGCAATCAGTCTTGGTGTGTACTCTAAAAATATGATAAATGTGAAAGTTAAAAACACAGTTTAGAGAGTTTATTTTGGTGTTATGAGTTAAAAGTGGTGGTAGACTTTAGAGAAGGGGAATGTGTTGGTGCAGGACATAGAAGCCAAAGGCTGCCACTTTGTGGGCTTTTTTTGGAGGGGAACTCTGTGGCTGATATTGCAGGAGGCGTTTTTGTCGTGCATATTGGGCTGCTGATGTATGTGGCACTTTGCAAAACTAGAAAAGACATGATCCCTTTTGCAGAGATCTTATAGACCTTCGGCAGCTGAATATAGTCAGGACAAGAAGTTGGACAATAGGAAGGTTTTGGAAAGAACAGTGACAAGGCAACCAAGGAAGGATTCTCGGAAAAAGTGTTTTTTTCTCAAGGAGTTTGACACAGGACACTTGGACAAAAATGGGAGACTGTTCCAAGAATAGTGGACACATTAAATGAAGACAGCATCAAGGGTGGGGGTAGGGGACAAATGGAGCAATAAGAAGAGAGGCCTGAAGGAATGTAGGGAGCAAGGCTGTAGTAGAAAGAAATATGAGCAGAAATGGAGTTGGATTGAGAGTATGGAAGGCCTTAAAGGTGAGATTCTTGAGTTAGACATAAGTGACAGCAAGCTGCTGAAAAGATTCAAAGAGGCAGGGAAGAGAGATGACTGGTACAGAATTGATCTAATGCAGCTTCCCCTATTCCATGTGAGATTCCATTACTTCTGCTTTCAAGAAACCGGGGGACAAATTAGCTCTAAAGAGCAGGAGGTTGCATACTTGAGATTCAAAATCTGAAAGTCTGAGAAGTGGTTGCAAGACATAAATAAATGTCTCTTTAAGTCAAAGTATCCATATCATTTGTGTCGGTGTCTCTGTTTTATGATTTGGGTATGACTTTATATCAGAACCAATGAACATTTAAAAAAAAAAAAGGTCTTGTGTTTTGCTAAAATATGTGCTTTTAAACAAAGAGCTGGAAAGTGAAGAACAGACCAAAATCCTCTTTTTAAATAGTTTCTCTGTTCCAGGTGCTGTTTTAATTGACCAGTACTGTAATCCTCTCTCAGACATCTGTCTAACAAGTGTCCAGGCGCAGGTTGACGATATCACAGACAAAGTTCGCAAAGTCCTGCGGACCAAAAACCCTAGGCATCCAAGCTTGGCTCCAAAGGCAGGTACTGTAGAGAAATGTGGTCCAGTTGGCCCTTTCAGAGTGATGTTGCTATAGTCTTGATCTTGCCTAAACAATGCTTATTTTGTTTAACTTACTCCATAATTTTTAAATAGTCTTAACATGGGGCTTGGGAGGTATCCTTTTCTTTCTTGGAGCCATTACAAACTGAACAGCAATCAAATCACACTCTTGAGTGTCTTCTAAGGCCTGGTCCACACTAACCCCCCACTTCGAATTAAGGTACGCAAATTCAGCTACGTTCGAAGTACCTTAGTCCGAACTTACCGCGGGTCCAGACACGGCAGGCAGGCTCCCCTGTCGATGCTGCGTACTCCTCTCGCCGAGCTGGAGTACCGGCGTCGACGGCGAGCACTTCCGGGATCGATTTATCGCTTCTAGACAAGACGCGATAAATCGATCCCAGAAGTTCGATTGCCTGCCGCCGAACCAGGAAGTAAGTGTAGACCTGCCCTAAGATCTGAAAGAGGGGAGTCTCTCTCCCATGAACCTTATGAAGTGTTCTGTGAAGTTTGCTCTCTTTCAAGGAATGAGCAGCCAGTGTGTGTATCATTACTTAAGTAATAATCTTTTCTCTCAGTCTTGTCACTCTGTATTCATTTTAGGAGAGGTCTTGATTGTTTCTGATGTGGAGTTTCAAAGGCAGGTGCTGGATGCTGTGAATTGTGTCCTGTATGAACAATTAAAATACAAAGGAAATGAGATGGATTACTACAACTCCTTGAATTCATACATTCACCAGGCAAGTGTGTATTTACTGAACCAGCCAAGGAAGCCACTGCTAGTACGAGTGTGAGAGAGAATTCTACTTGCACTTCTGTCATGTTTGCATAGATGAGTAAGTAAAATAAACCTGAATGCACCAATGTCACATAGGAGTGGCTTGCTGTAAACAGCATAGTATGTTAACTCTCTCTGCACTTGCTGCTGGGTCAGTGCATTTTGAGGCATTTTGAATAAAATTGTATCTCCGCTGAGAATCCTGGTACTCTGTACATTGAATTTTTAACGTCCTGCATTAAATGACCTACGATTTGTAAGCTTCCCTCTGATTGAGTCTCATTTTTCAGGTTTTAATCCGTAGGACGGGAATCCCTATCAGCTTGTCTGTGCTCTATTTAACAATTGCCAGACAGTTGGGAGTCAGACTCGAGCCAGTCAACTTTCCTAGTCACTTCCTGCTGAGATGGTGTCAAGGGAAAGAAGGGTAAGATTTCTGTTAATTCCATTTGACTTTTGGGAAGACCAATAAACCATTTACCCCCCAGGAGGCAGTTTTCCCAGCCTGACATTCTGTTGGCAGAGAGGTCAAGTAAAGCAACCATCTCTGATGACAAGATGTTAAAATAGATCAGGTTGAAAGTTCCTGGTTAACTATTTTTTCACATTTTTTTTCTGATGCAAATAGAAAAGTTACTTTAATGCTGAAACAAGAAGTATTTTCTGAGGTAACCCATAAATGCAGGAGCATCTTGTCCCATATAGATATGAGTTTAATTGCTAAATCTGTACATCAGCCAGCAAGTGAATACACAGCTGTGTATTCACTCAAAGGGTTCTGAATGGCAACAGACTTCCTGAATAAATATAACAGTAGTTAGGGTAGCACTTCCGCTTTTCATAATTTTATAGCTTTTTTTTTTTAAGGAATTTCATTTAATCCTTTGTGCAGCACAACTGATAGAAGCTGATGCTACTGTGTCATGTACCCACCTGCTCTCTGAATCAGTGTTGGTGACTCCTCGAATGACCTAATGATTGGCTGTTGGCAGTGATGTTACTCCCAGAAGTACAAATTTCAGGGGTAATGTTAGTGATCTCATTCAATACAATGAACTTGATTACACAACCCCCTGATGGGTATTTGACTCCCATCCTGCCACCATACACTGCCATGGGCTGCATTGTACAACAATCTCTTGTTAGCCAAACATGGCCTTCAAATATATCATAGAATTAGGTAAAGCAAACTTGAGAATAGTTTGCAAGCCTCTCTGGGGAGAAGAAGCACTACTGATAAAATAATTTGACTTTTGTAGTCTTTTGCCATGTGTTTGCAAGAAGGTAAATAAGAGGAAACTGACTAAACTCTGCCACTAAAGGAGCTGAGGTACTGACAGTATTCACCTCAAACTTAAACTTTATTTTCTTGGTGTTTCATTAGAAGCACAGACATCTTTGACTACATGTACATAGATGCCTTTGGAAAGGGAAAGCAGCTAACTGTGAAAGAATGCGAGTACCTGATTGGCCACCATGTAACAGAGGAGTTCTATGGAGTGGTTACTTCAAAGGAGGTCTTGCAGCGTATGGTGGGAAACCTCTTAAACCTTGGAAAGCGGTAAGGTTTACTTAAACCTCATGAAGAATTTAAAGCCTTACGTAAATGTGGACCTGAAAAATTCTGCTTTGATCAGTAATATGCTTCTTTGTGGCAGTCATGAGTGGATTTACAGGGTATAAGCCGTACCAGTTATTCACTTGGCAGTTCTACCCATCACTTCTCATTATTTAGTGACTCTTAACAAGAATATTCCTGTAGAGTGAATATCAGAGAAAGTATTTAGTAAAACAAATTTCATACAAGCAAATCAAGGGACTGTTTTTCCTTTAGGGCATATTAGAGTTTTCACTATCCTGTAGAGAAAAAGGATCTTCCATTAGGATCTGGTGGATTGATCCCACATGATCAACTTGGTGTGGTTACACTGGGGCTGTCATCATTGGACTTGTAATTCTGTTTCTATTTATGAACACCTTTCTTCCTTTTGTCTAAGGAGTCTTTACTGGTAGTTATAGAAGACCAAAAAAGCACAACCCTTAAAGAATTGCTCCAAGCATGAATGAGTAAGGAGAACCATATCCCAATCTGAGAGAAAGTAAGCTTGCAACTTGGAGAGTGAAGTCTCTGAAAGGGGTCTTGGAACCATGAGATTTTTTTTTTCCACGGGGAAGGAGTAGAGTTTGGTAGGGCAATTTTAGTGTAATTCCCTCGATAAGCCCCTGGAGTTGCTCCAATTGGATGAGTACCAGTACTGTGTAATGTCTTTATTGATCACTGTCTCCCGGATGCTGAAGTAATAGGGAAAGGAAATGAAGATTTAACCTTAAAATTGAATTTCTTCTTTGCTGGTAGGGAAAGCACTGATCAGTCCTACCAGCTCTTGAGAGACTCCTTGGATCTGTACCTGGCCATGTATCCGGACAATGTGCAGCATCTAATGCTCCAGGCTAGGTTATACTTCCACCTGGGAATCTGGCCAGAAAAGGTACCCTAACACTTGGTCATATATTTTATCATAGGGGTAAGCTATAAAAAACAGTAGGTAATTGATTCTGGGCTACAGTAGCTTGTGTTGTAGTCAGCCAAGAGCTGTTTCTGTTGTACAAACAATGTAAAGAATTATCACACTTCAAAAATCAATATCCCGTATAGAGAAGAGATTTTCCTTTTTGTAGTCCCCACTGCATATCTCTGGATAGCCTCTGACCTGAGTCAAAAGTTAGGATTTCCTGCCCATAACTGTTCGGGTTTTTTTTCATTTTAACTTGGGCTTTCAGATTCTCTTGATATATCTAGTGCTTTACCTCTGCATCAAGATTGTATGTGTCTAGGTAGACTTGAACAGCCATAGAGCTGTAAGATACACAAGTGTTTTACCTAGGCTGTTCTCAGTGGTGGCAGATGACAGAATGAGGAGCAATGGTCTCAAGTTGCAGTCGGGAAGGTTTAGGTTGGATATTAGGAAAAACTATTTCACTAGGAGGGTGGTGAAGCACTGGAAAGTGTTACCTCGGGAGGTGGTGGAATCTCTATCCTTAGAGATTTTTTAAGGCCCAGCTTGACAAAGCCCTGGCTGGCATGATTTAGTTGGGGATTGGTTCTGCTTTGAGCAGGGGGTGGGACTAGATGACCTCCTGAGGTCTCTTCCAATCTTAATCTTCTATGATACAGAGGTCATGGGTGTAAGAGCTCTTACTGGATTAAGGAAAAATATTTCCTGATAAAGTAAATCTTTGGGATTACCTGTTATAAACTAAACTAAAACTGTGTTTTGGCACTCTCAACCCTTTCCCACTTATTTTCACAATAAAACAACTGCAAAAGGAATCCTAAGCATGAGGATAATGGGGCTGATGCTTCAGTCACGCCAATCAAGGCAGGAGACCAAATAATTTGACAGAGAAAGGACCTGGACATATAAATTGTCTGGGTCACTCAAGCCTTCCATCAAGCTGAGAATAAAGCACATAATTAAGGAAACCATTTAATTACATTGAGCATGTTGTTACAGTGCAGCTGCATATAACTTAGCAAAATTCAATTCATATCAGCGAAGGGGGATACCTCTTAAATCAAAATACATGTAAATCTCTGCTCAGCAGGGACTCGCCATTGGAACTTTACCCACCCCTCCCACTGAAGATAACCCCATTCGCTGCTTTAGGGCTCTGCTGCCAGATCTTTGATTGTTCTTAGGGGCAGGAACAGTTGCTTCCTATATGTTGGTGCAGTGCCTAACACAATGGGCCCCAATCCTGGTTGATTATGGATAATAATACGTGGCTGCATATTCCACAGATATTGTCAATCACTTCTGCACAGCACAATGTTACCCAACATAGTGATTGTCAAAGTGACGTGATGAAAGTTAGTGGCTAAATTAAGAGGATCATTATATGTGTACCGTGGTTTTTCTTGTCCATTTCCTGGAGTCAAGGGGAATACAACAAAACAAGATCCCCAAAACTCTATCACGTGTCTTTATTTGTAATATCCTTTAAAAATCAAAATCCAATATCTGCTTGTTCGGATTATGAAGAATGGACGAAAGGAGCCCAAACTTTCAACAACATTCACTTCATTCCTCTTGCGGTTGCTTCAGCAACTTCTAAGCAATCTCTTCTCTCTCCTCCCTTTTCCCCCCTACCCCCACCCCCCAAAAAAATTCTAATATTCTTGTCTTAATCTCCATGGACTTCAAAGTGACCACCTGTCCATTACCAATTTTGGAGTATATAGAAACACCCTTCTCATTACAATGACACGTGATCTGAATACAAAACCATTGATTGAAGGCCCATATAACTAAATTCCTCTTTGGCAGGCATGCTTCAGTAAGCTTGGGTGGTATAGCTAGCATGAATGTCTACCTTTGTATAATAAAATGTTCACCAAGCTTGCCGTTGTCTGAAGGAAATATCAGATTTAAGAGATTCACCCACAAATAAAATGATACAAGCTAATGAAGATTCTCCGTGGGAATCTTCAAGTAGAAATGACAGATGTACTGTGACATGGGACAGCTAAGCTTTATGATTCAGAGAGCTACCTGTGGCAAATTCCCCAGACCATCAGTTTACTTCCTCTCACACCAGTGATTTGAAGGTTTATGGTTGATTTATTTTCAATTTCCACTTTACTATCCTGCAATTTGTTGATCTTAAGTACAGATGATGTCCTTAAATTGTATTCTCCATATCACTAATTTACTGCTCCAAATTTGCCAAACACCTTAAAAATCCTCAACCTTCTCAGTTATTGAGGATTCCTGCATTGCATCCATCGGTGCATGTGTTAATTCCAGACTTCTGGACCAGGGATCCGTTACTGGCACCTGAGAACAGCTGACAGAGGGTCCATCATCTTTCTCCAGCCGAGAATGTGCTTTCAACTCATCTCTGTGACGTGGAATTTTTATTTTTAAGGGTTCCCTTTTAGCCAAGTGTCCATCCAGCATAGGAAAAAAAAATAAACCAACAACAATGGAGAACATCACATTTGTAGAAATAAATGTGAAATCTTAAGAGCCAAACAGAGCTAACCAGAATGCATGTTTTACTATTGCTTAAACGTGTACCTTTTGCAAATGACTTAAATCCCTAAACTGGATTAATTAAGGATAGACAAATTGGAGAGTGCTTATAAACAACTATAATGCCAGATGAAGAAAAGATCCCTTTCTTTTGGTGTCACTTGATGCAGAGAGAGCTTTTGATTAAATGTAAAGTTCCAGACTATTCTAAGTCATGTCCCATATGGACCTTGGCCCCCAATTCCTTAAATGGATAACTGCTCTTTACACCAGCCCAAAAGCAGCTGTGTGAGTTAATGGGGTTAAATCTCCCTGCTTGAATTACACAGACAGGCTAGGTAGGGGGTATTCATTGTCTCCTTTACTTTTTGCATTGGCCATGGAGCCTTTTGCAAAAAGGGTAAAGAGCAATGAATCTATCACAGGAATAAAACTTGCAGGAACATATCAGAAAATAGCTTTATATGCTGATGATGTAATATTTTAATCTAAACCAAATATGTCCCTAAAACTAATATCTAAAGAAATCTGAGCGTTTGGGAAAACCTCTGTATTAAAGTAAGTTTTATGCCAAATCTGAAATATTAGCTACAAATTTGCCAGCTTCTGAGAAGTCATTCCTCCAGAAAACATTTGCATACAAATGGGCAATAAGTCCGATAAGATACCTGGGAATTCAAATCTCAAACACCCTAGAAGAGCTGTAAGATTTCAATGTCAAACTGGAACTGCAGTAAAGGGGGGGTGGGGGGCGCTGGAGTGCTGAGGGAAATATGAATTTTTTGGTTGGGAAGAATAGCCACAGTGAAAATGAATGTTTTGCCAAGCATAGTCTTGTTTCAAAATCTTTCTGTAATCATCGCAGATAAAACCCTTGCAGGAATAGAGAGGAAACTCTTAGCATTTATATGGAATAAGAAAAGACTGAATGCTGATACTTTGTACAGATCTTTAAACAGGGTGCACTAGCTGTTCCAAATAGTCAATGGTACTAACATGCCAGCCAGCTCAAAGCAGTAGTGGATTGGTGGTGCCCTAACCCAGCCAAACACTGAGGTTTTTATTGAACAAGAAAATTGTGGCAGTGCAAACATCACTAGGCTACCATGGATAATAAATTAAAAAAAAAAATCATGCCCTCCAGACATTTATACTTACCCTTAACGAAGGCTATTCCGTGGTTTGGGATAGAACTAGAGAGAAGTTATTTTCCTTCACCAGTGACACCCATTGTAAATAATCCAGATCTTAACCCAGATCACAAACTATAGAGCTTTAAAGACTGTGTGCGCCATGTTGGCTGGCTATTCAGTAAAGAAACTTCTCTAACTTAATTTTTTATCTCCAAGTTTAACTGGCCCATTCTTCTATGGTATCAGTACTTTCAAATGAGGCATTAGTTCTCAATTTAGCTGTTTTATACAGAAAGCTAACTTTAATAGAAATAATGGTGTCTAGTCAATTAGGAAACAAAAATATATATAACTAATTGATATCAATCTTTGCAGGCAGCTTTCCTAACCAAAAAAAAAAATCTATGTAGGACATGCTGTGAAAAGGATCAGGGTAGAAAGATTGCCCCAGAGGAATAGGATTTGATTTGGAAAAGAGGATCAGCAGCCTCAGTCTGTAACGCAATCAAAATTTCTCTAAAATGCTGTTTCAATGGTACCTCATACCAGTCAGGTTAATATATGTGTATGTATAATATATGTATAATATATGTATATAAAATATAGATTGAATGAGGATAAATGTTCGAAAAATTGTGGCGAAAGTGCAGATTTCATGCGTATAGGGTGGACATGTCCAGTCGTTAAAGACTACTGGATTGCAATTCATAACCAAACATTACAAAGTGTTGAATATTTATTACCAAATGGTCCTTTGGTAATCCTCCTTGGACTTCCTAGCGGAAATGGTCACTCAAAAGGAAATGAAGAATTAACTTCTTATCTGCTAGGCTACTGATAGTCTCTCAATAGAAAAAGAAATAGCACAACCGTAGACGAATGGCTCAAAAAATGAGGTTCTGGTTATGGAAAAATTAATGCACCAGTTACACCTCAATCTAGGACAGTTCCACAGATTTGTCACCTAAAAAGAATGGCTCAGGTTTGGGAATCTCCCTCACATCCTCAGCCGTGAAAACCGATGCAAAGAATTCATTTAGTTTCTCCACAATGGCCTTATCGTCCTTGAGTGCTCCTTTAGCATCTCGATTGTCTGGTGGCCCTGTTGGTTGTTTAGCAGGCTTCCTGCTTCTGATGTACTTAAAATTTTTTGCTATTTACTTTTTGAGTCTTTGGGTAGCTGTTCTTCAAATTCTTTTTTGGCCTTCCTGATAATATTTTTATACTTCACTTGCCAGAGTTTATTCTCCTTTCTATTTTCCTCAATAGGATTTAACTTCCACTTTTTAAAGGATGCCTTTTCACCTCTCAGTGCTTCTTTTATTTTGTTGTTTAGCCATGGTGGCACTTTTTTGGTCCTCTTACTATGTTTTTTAATTTGGGATATGCATTTAATTTGAGCTTGTATTATGGAGTCTTTAAAAAATTTCCATGCAGCTTGCAGGGATTTCACTTTTGGCACTGTACCATTTAATTACTGTTTAACTAACTTCCTCATTTTTATGTAGTTCCCCTTCCTAAATAATGTTTAAAACAAAAATTGAGCAGGTCGCTTTTAAATAGCAAAAGATCCGAGACAGCTTTGATCACTGTGCCAGGACTTTGCTTTTCCAGAGATTTCTTGCATTTGATGTTCCTAGCTGAGACATTAAATGGGAAATAAGACCCCATGTCCTATGCAGCACATTTGACCGAAATTAAGTAGCAGAGGATCTTGAGCTAGGCAGCACTGCCCTCCAAGCCCTCTGCTCATTACTTGTCTAAGTATTTTTATGCCCTCGTTCATTGCCTCTCTGCCTCTGAGTCATATGTCAAACAGATCAATGTTTACTCTGATATTAACTTGTTATCCTATCCCAGATTTTCAGTGTTCAGTGTGCTGCAGGCATTTTGTAATGAAAATGCATAACCATGTTGCAGACGCTATTAGGGGGATGCTGGGCAGGGGATAATTGGGGTATTTGACAGCTGCTGAGGTGTGTAAGTCAGTTTTGGTTTTTAGCAAATAGTAGGCAGATGAGGCTTTTGATACTGGAATGGGATGCATTTCCCCTTCCCCTGACCCTTTAAGACAAATCAGACTACTTAAGATGACTTGGGCCCCGCTGAGTATCCCGTTTTTATAACGCATGTCTGTGTAATATATGTTTCTAGAATAGTCTCACAAGGGTGGTCTGGTAGTCTAGCAACAACAAGCTCCCACCATCTCGGAAACCTTGTTTGGAATCCTGAACGCTTCTAGCTCTCAACGGTTGTATGGCTTACAAGTCTTTCAGAGGCGTACCTCACGTTTTGCAACACTGACCTTTCTGAGAAATTAGGAGTGACATTAGTTGGCTTTGAAAGGACTATTTCCAGTCCTTCCAGCTAAAAGGCTAGTGACTGTATTAGTGGGCATTAAGGGTGCTTGTAATTAGAAACAACTCCAAAGGGCTCTTTGGCTCTGCAGTCTAGAGCAGATGCTGGTTTTTGAAGAGCTGGCTGGTTGCAGGGTGCTGGTTCCTCGCTTTCACTTGCTAAACTGCAGTAAAAGGCAGCTGATATGTTAAATATTTTCCTAATATTACTTTTTCGGTAAGTAATTGCAGTAGTTGCCATGTGCATGTTACATGATGCTGAATGAGAAGGGAGGTAGTCTGTGCAGTGGTGGATAGGTGGCAACTGGTTCAAAATTTGTAGCAAATGTGCTTCACCTTATGGAAAAAGTTTAGAGAACCCTCATCTGAAGAGGAGCAGACATCTAGAATCGGGCACTTAAGCTCTATGGAGAAGATAGTTTTCTAAAGCTACTATAGAGACCTGTTTATAAACCTAGTTTTCTTTCTCTCACCGCTGAAGGTTCTGGACATCCTGCAGCATGTTCAAGTGTTGGATCCATCCCAGCATGGGGCAGTGGGGTATTTAGTTCAGCATACCTTAGAGCATATTGAACGCCGTAAGGAGGAAGTGGGACCTGAGGTGAAGCACCATTCTGATGAGAAGCACAAAGATACCTGCTTTTCTATTGGGCTGATCATGAAACACAAGAGGTAATCAACTCTGAACCTTTCAGTGTCCAAAAGCTTCCACTGTAACACTGCGGGCTCTTGTTTGTATATGGAATGATGTATTCGGCTGCTTCCTTCTTACTGTGATTGAACATCATTTTTATTACATGCTAAGGAACGGTTAGAGAAGTGTCTGAGAAGGAACATACTGCCCCTATGTGTAGTTATGTATGTATCCTTTTAGAGATATGAAGCCCGACATCTGTATACTTCACTGTCCTTTGACAGATTGCAGGTGTGTTGTCATTTTTTTGCTTAGTAAGAGGACGGTGAAGATGAGCCATCTGAACCCTAAGTGTTAATGTATTGGTAGGGATTCTATGGCTAAGCTCTTGAAATATACTGATAGCAATGAATATATCTCATTGTTTTCTCTGTTCTTGCTCTTCTGTCCTCTTTGAAGGGACGGTGGGAAGGAACGGCAAAATCTTACACATCTTTTTTCTCCCATAATATCTTCCCTCCTCTTCCCTCATTCACTGGAGACTTCATCTTTCTGTTTTTACTTTTTTGGGGGTGCGACCTGCTGGTGACTGCTGCTTCAGCTGCCTTTCTGGCCCCTGTGCCTGATAAATGCATGAGGAGCAGATTTAAGGGCAGAGACAGTAATTTTGACTTCTCAAAGGATATCACACAATCACGTATAATGCTATACAAATAAACTAGGTTTTATATTTCTGGAAACTCTTTGCCCAGAATCCTTTGGTCACATGGCAGGAATGGACAATAATTGTCCCTCCCAATACAGTGACTTCTAAACTGGGTGTTAAATGTAAGCTGCAGGTCAGTTTGCATTGTAATCGGTTTGACTGCAGTTTTAGTATTTGACCAGCACATAGCAACTAAATATGCTTTTCTTGCCAAATCTACTCTTAAAATGCATCTTTTCTCCTTCCCAATTCTTAATTTTTCTGTTTTACTGTAATTTCACTGTAGTTTTCAAGTTGGCTTTAATCTGTGCCACATACTGTTTGTTTGTCTTTTAGTATTTAACTCATGATTTGTATTTCAGTCATTTGGGAGTTAGTTCGTTTGAAGGAAACTTTACGAGGCCCGTTGTATGAATTTACCAAGGGTTGTGGTGGATTCTCCATCACTGACCATTTTAAAATCCATATTGGATGGCTTTCTAAAAAATCTGCTCTAGGAAATATTTTGGGAACGTTTTCTCTGGCCTGCGTTTTATACAGGAGGTCAAACTAGATGATCACAGTAGTCCCTTCCGGCCTTGGAGTACATAAATCTATGTGCTTCTATGACAGCAAGGTGTTTGTTACCAAAGAAGATGGGATTGGGGGCAGTATACATGAACTACATACCTGAGGCTTCTACAAGCTTGTACTTCACCCTTTAGAAATTCCTGTAACCTAATTCTGCATAAAAAACTTCTTTATTGGAATTTGCCCTTGGGCTTACAAGTTGTGGCATGATCCCTTATGACCATTTGGTGTATGGGCTGTGAGCTAGTGGATGCTGTCCTGCTCTGGGTATTCAAATACTATGGTGAAGGATAGGCTGGGACTGATCAGCCATTGAGTAAAGGGAAAGAAGGTGTCAGCATCTCTGAAGTGATTTGGATGGGTGTGAGGCAGGAACCGTGGTGATAATGATTATTGGTTTATCAGCAGAGATGGGGAGAGAATGGCTGTTTGTGTTCAGTTAAACAAATGTGAGTTTGCTTTATTATTCAAAATATTTTCTTTGACCACAGAGTTAAAGTACAAGATGACTGTTCCAGTTCCCTCCTCTATGAAGGAATATTATAAAAGGATCTCTTTGAACAAGTCTCCTCAGGTGGATTGGATTAGAATTGGCACCATGAGAACTCCATAAATTTTTTGTTCTCAAAATGACTCTTAATTGGCTTTGTCTTCAGTTTGAAGGTGGAACGTGAATTTCTTATTCTACTTCGGTCAACGGTGTTCTTTATACAGAATCTCTCCCAGGAGCTCATGAGTGCCAGCATGCAGCTCCCATACCCTTTAGTGGCAGTCCTCCTCTCTCAAGAAGAGTATCTAGCTGTGCACCTTTCCAAGGTTTTGATTATTATTTTTTTTATACTTCTAATTAGATATGGCTATAACTGTGTCATCTATGGCTGGGATCCCACCTGCATGATGGGACAAGAATGGATTAGAAATATGAATGTCCATAGCCTACCTCATGGCCCCCATCAACCTTTTTACAATGTGCTGGTGGAGGATGGATCCTGCAGATACGCTGCTCAAGGTGAGCAAATAAATCAGCCTGTAGATGTGATATGTGTGCATTTGATTTCTATGTACATGTGTGGTATATCAAATCTGTTACGCTTACTATTTGAACAATGTTAATATTTACACTAAAGTTATATGGCTACTAAATCACTAGTGTTTATTATTTAAACAAATTAATATGTACTCTGAAAATCAAGATTCAAGCAAGAAGGAAACTGATATTCAAATCTTAAATTGACCTACTTTGCTTCTGAACGCCCCGATAACTTCTCAACGAGATCAGGACTACTAGGAATAAACTCAAAAGTTAACTTCAGTTGAACTTGCCACCCTCCAATTTTATTTTGAAATACCTTTAATAGTTTACATGATAAGAAAACACTGCTGAAAACTTTGATTGCTATTATTTGGGAGAATAGATCCAACTTTCACTTAAATCTGAAAATTATTTGGTGGTATTACAGTTGATGTAATTCTGTAAGGGGCCTCAGAACAGTCTGAACACGTACCACGTGAGCTTCATTGTCTAGGCAGAATATGTTAAGGATGGAATTTCAGCCTTAACCCTGAATTTCTTGGCTTTTGTGGGTTTTTTCTTTTTTGTTTTTTGTCAGGTTCCTAAGGAGATTTGGACAAAAATCAGGAGTAAAGTAATTGTGTAATGGAAGGCTTCCTTTTTTATGATCACTGTGCCTTTTGTAGAAATTGTTCTGGCCATTTTTTTAATGCACTGTGCTATATAAAAAAAGAAATCTTGTGGTGGTCAGAACACAGGCATATTGGGTACTAGGAACTTCTGCATTCTAATCCTTCCTGTGACACTAACTTCTCCTTTGAGCTTGGGCAGATTACTTCACTTGTCTTCCTCTCATTATCTATAAAATGGGGACAACACCTTCATCGCAGGGGGGTTGCAAAGACTGATTAAATGTTTCTGAAACACTTAGATTATGAAAATTTATTTTGACTGAATATGGTTCAGGTTTCACTAGAGGGTGCTGTCTAACATAGTTTGCAGTACAGTACAAGAGCAAGTTTAAAAAATAAATGTAAAGGTCAGATACACTTGTAGGTGTAAAATACAGGGAGATTTGTGGTTCTAGATTTCCCCAAATATTTTACTTTGCACTTGGTAGTCCAAAAATAAGTATTACTTGGGATTCTTGAATCTGCCCCAATGCTTGTGTGTTTATGAAGCAGACTTTGGAAGGTCCTGCATTTTCTAAGAAACAATATTTTCTTCTCTCTGCACACACTGCTATTAGGATGAGAATGAAGTATCTGCCCCGGTATCGTACTATAAGTGTTATGTTCTCATCTGTTTCACTTTTTTTCTTTTCTTTTTTTTTTTTTTTTGTAAACAAAATTAGTAACTATAGTACAGGTTGGTCGCAGAGCCCAAGTTCTCCTACATAAGCTGTGGGCTGGTACTGTCGTCTTGGTTCTCGAGCACAATCTTGTATGCTACAGTTGTTTTGTCCTTACTTGCCATCACGTATCTCCCTTGACCACTCGCACTTCCTGTCCCTTCCAAACTATGTGCAGGTCACTTTTTGCTTGTTGCATCAGTTTCAATTTTGTGCTTTGGAGACAGAAAGTGGGATTTTGAGGGGGAGAATTTCAAACAAATGTGTTTGTTTTTTAAAGTTTTAACAGTTGTGGTTTATATGGTTTGGGTCACAACTAACTACTAAACACATTACCGGTAATTCTAAGTGGCTTTCACCATATTGCTTGTGACCGATCAGTTTCATTGTTGCTAGTTTCAGAACTAGGGATGGATGGATTGTTCCTAAGTGGTGGTCTCAGCATCCTCCCCAAGCACTGGTATGCATAGCTTGTATCCACCCATATTCCAGTTACTGCCAAATGTATGTTACATCATTCAAGGCCTCCACAGGGATCGTACAGCTGAGAGTCACTAATTGGCCACTGCACAGCAATGCTGCTTTACACAAACGAGAGCTTTTCCTCTGACAGAATAAATGAGAGTAGTGGGCATTTGGTTCATCTTCTTACTGTAGCACCATTGTTTCTGGTCTTACTTGAATCGCTGTGTGTGCAGTGATTAAATGTGAATGTTTTAAAAATAGGAAAGGACATGAAAATACTGTGGTGGTAAGGAATAAACATTCACTTCTTATAGGACTGCTATTCCAGAAAATTTGGGTTTTAAATGGTAATCTCTGTGTGCTAGACATAGGTCAAATCCCAGCTGATCCTTAGGAGCCTTCAAAGTGGAAGACCCAATTCTTCCTTCATGCGTGTTTGAGACAACTGACTTCTCCTTTGCTCTTCAAACAAGTTGGCAGTTTGTAAGGACCTCTTCTGGGAATTGGCTTCCTGACTGTGGGAGTTAGAGCCCAATTGTGTAGATTCTGCATAGATGGAGTGCCTATAGGATTGGGACCGAACTCCCAAATGTCCTTGTTCTCTCTTCAGTATGAACCATTTACTTCTCTTCTGCACAGTGAACTGGTATCCATTAATGACTTCACAGCAACAGCCAGTCAGCATTCTGACACTCTAGTTTAATTCCAGCAGTACTGTTCTCAGACACAGTAGTTTGGTAGTAGTATCAAAAATATCAGCTCTGCTCAGAAAACAGAGCAGGTGAACCCCTGAAACAGAAGACTGACTAGCTTAAGGCAGAGACAAAAAGCTTCTTCAATGCTGGGCATTAGTGTGCTGATAACTGCTTTTTCTTCTCTCTACAGAGAACCTGGAATATAACTTGGAGCCTCATGAAATCCCTCACCCTGATGTCGGCCGCTATTTTTCAGAGTTTACAGGCACTCACTACCTGGCAAATACAGAGCTGGAGATTAGGTATCCTGAGGATTTGGAACTTTCTTGTGCAACAGTCCAAAAGATCTACAGCACAGTCAAGGAATGAGTGAAACTTGATCACAAGGACAGAAGAAAGTTTATCACAGCTGCTGCTGTATCCTCTTTGTGGACAGAATTATGGAAGCCAATTTTCACAATGATCTTCAGGCGTATGCCCCAGGAGTTGCATCGCACTTCGTAACCTGTGAGATCGCGTATGTCTAATGACCACTCAGTTACCATCTGCCCACACTAGTCCATTAATTTGGGATGCATTGGTATTCCAGACAAGGCATTCATTATCTTGAAGTGACAATCAAAGTATGAAGTGTATTGTCCCCTTGAGCGCTTGCATTTACCACTTGTGTGTTTATGCTCGATTTTTCATATTTAGGATGTGAGCATGTTACGACTCTAGCTGGAGTCTGGAATAATCCCATGTTATGGATAAAGAGATTGATCATACTTGCAGTATTTTTTTATATATCTATTCTGTGTATGCGGTAGTTTTAAGGTCTCTCTGAAGTTCCACAATTGTTTGTTTCCTCAATTCTGATTTTCCTCTTACCCTGAAAATGATAAGTGTTGCTAACATTCCAATTCTGAAATCACTTGTCAGCCTCGGCAATGGCACTGAAACTTTCTTGAACAAGAATCATGAGGCACCATATGATGGTGAGTTCAACAGTAACTTGAATGGACCTCATACATGTAACGCTTCCAGCTGTTACAAACGCACCGTTGAATCATTTTATAGAAAATAAGATCCTGGCAATTTTCTCTCCCCAATAAACTTGTTGTTGGGACCCTGATTCCTACCTGTACTTTTTCTTCCATTAAGTTCTCTTCATGGTGTTGAATTTGTGATGTGGTCATATATGTATTTTTCTACATGTCTCCTTTTATCTGGTTGAAACTGTTAAAACTTGTAGTTTGAACCACCATCTTGTGGTGAAGTCTTTATTTAGTGAGCTGTTATCTATACTGTCAGATTGCGATTGTGCCATGAAAGCCAGTAGATGCCAGCATCTGGCAAACAATACATGGAGAACTTATTTCCTATATCATGATGCCTTCTTTCTTTTGGCAATGGAAGATAATACAATAAAGTACGGGGAGGAGAAAGGAATGGGAGGATAATGAGAGCTAGGGGAAGCAATGTATATTAGGTGCGTGATTTATTATAATCTTCAGCTGGTGGGTGATAAATCTGATTGGGTCATCTTCAAGCCATATTGGGTAATCCATGTGGGTATTCTGCCCTTTGAAGGAGAAAAGAGGGTTAACTATTTGTCCAAATTCTGACTTCTGCAAGGGAGGTGCTTCAGAAACAGAGGACACTTGAATTGTAATGAGGCTGCCGCCGTAGAGTCTGCAAAACCTAGAAAAATAGTACATGATTATTTTCTTTTAGGGTTACATAAGAATTGGATGTGAAGTTGCAAAGTATTTACAAAGATATGAAATATCTACAGTACTTTCGTTTCTAAATTAATAACTCTAGGCAGGCTGCAGTCATTGTTTCTAATTACCGTGTGGTTACATAGTTATAGACAGAAGACTTAGTTATCCTGCCCTGTAGAGTAAAATGACACCCTTATTCTTGTAACATTTTAAATGTGTCTGTGCACTAACGTGCACCCTTCTTTTTAAGATAATAATTGATTTGCATGCAGTCTTGTGTAAATATTTAACAAGCAACTTATACTTTTCACAGTGAAGGTTCGTGATCTGCAAGTTCCTCAACACTTGAGAGGCAGCAGAAAAAAACCTATTAGTGCTAATAAAAAGGAAAGAATAAAATTACACTACAATAAATTTTCTGATAATCCCAGCTGAATTAAAGGGGGATTTAGGTACAAAATTGTCACTGATTTTGAGAGTCATGTAGCTAAATCCCTGTGCCAACTTCAAACTAAAATCCAAATCTCTGTCTCTAAGGGGTTGAAAATTGTAATTTTTAGGGCATATCCTGAAAGATTGCCCATGTTTGGAACGACTCTGCTAGTAGAGTAAATGAGGGATCACTGCCTTCGGTTTTAATTTCTAGGCTGTTGTGCATCTGACCCTTAAACATATAGTAGAAAGAGACAGATGACTAGGAGTCAGGATTTCCAGGTTCCCAGCTCTGCCACTACCCACTGTGTGACCTTGGGCAAATCATTTCTCTCTGCCTCACTTTTTATCTGCAGAATGGAAGGTCTAGTATTTACCTGTTGTACCTCCCATGGGTGTTTTGTGACTGTTTGGAAAGCACTTTGAAATTCTAAGCTGAAAGGTGCTTTATAAATGCAAACTCTTATTCCGCTATTGAATATCAGTGGTACATGTACAATTAAACTCCTACACAAGCTCTGGTCAGCATCGTGTTTGAGGGTGACTTGGTTTTCCTTTGCTTTTAAAGGTAACATTAAAACAAAATTTTAACCTCAAGTTATAACTGTAAATATGTATTGAGACACATTTTAAATATATGCTATAATTTAGTGATACAAAATGGGCTCGAAAGTAGCCCCTTATAGCCTGTTTGTGTAAATTTTTATTTGGGCACTTATATATATTTTTTTAGAAAGTGGATTTTGGACCTGATAAATCCTAGCAACTGTTATTGACCTTTTTCACAAATCTGTGACATAGTCCCTTGTCATACTTACTGTATCCGTTTGTGAGGTGGAACCATTGCAATGTACTATTGGATACGAGTATTAAAAGTGAGTTATGTATAGCTACTTTTCAAACAATTGTTCAAACAACTGTTAGCTTGTGTCTATATTATAGACTAGGTTGATCTTGTCCAGGGGTTCTCAAACTGGGGGTCGGGACCCCTCAGGGGGTCGCGAGCTGTCAGCCTCCACCCCAAACCCTGCTTTGCCTCCAGCATTTATAATGGTGTTAAATACATTAAAAAGTGTTTTTAATTGACATGGGGGGGGTCGCACTCAGAGGCTTGCTATGTGAAAGGGGTCACCAGTACAAAAGTTTGAGAACCCCTGAATTTTCTTATCTATACAATGGACACATCGGCTGCAGAATTTAATGTACAAATTACTTGTGAATCATAGGATCTGTAGAACACTTCTGCATGTCTATGTAATAAAAATAGCAGAAAGATTTCTATGGAGGTTAGAAGGGGAAATACCTTTGTATGAGAGAGTTTAGCCCACATTGTGATTCTGCTCTGCCGTATGATTCTGTAAAAATGGCATCATGTGACTATATGTATGTTCAATTTTCTTTTTCATATGGACTAAGTTTAGGAGTAAAAAGATTAACTTTCTAACTTCCGGTCCTACACACCCAGTTTGGGATCTGAGTCAAGTTTGGGTTCTTTTCTTAGATATCACTAGTAAGAGAGGTTCTGTAGGGGAAATTACGTCCTCAGTGACACCCACGTGATCCCATTGCTTTCCATGGGGTTGCAGAAATGTAAGTGATTGGAACTTAGTAAACAATTCTGTTGCACAAGAATGAATTGCTCCTTCTTAGCGTCATTGATTCTGCACAGCTAACTGGAGTAAAAAATAGTGTGAGCTTATTTAAATCACTAAAGTGGTCAGATCTGATAAGTCAAGTGCCATTTTCATAGTGACTTCTTAGAGTAGAACTGTATTTCACCCAGAGTGTATCATTAGTAGATGATGATTCAGGAAAATAAAAGATCAGGGCCTGGGGGAAAAGACCATTGACAGGATTATAGATGTATATAGGGTCAGACTTGCTTAACTTGACAAATGACTTCACCTAGATCATTTTATCCTGAGTAAATTACATCCAAAGCCAAATTCTTGAGTTATCACTTCATACTCAACAAAAATCTGCCCTTAGAATAGTCAAAACACCTTTCTAATCTGGGAGATGCCTTCCAGGATATAAAACAGCTCTGAGAGTTGTATCTTGTCCTATGAAGTGTTCCATATGTCATCTGTAGTAATTATGTACATGTTAAGGGTACAAAAGCTTTTCCTAAAGCAGTATTAGGCTTTATGAACTTGCCATTACAAATTGTATTCAACATTCTCTTGGTTTTGTAGGGTTTCCATTCTTGTAATTATGTTCCACTCTGTTAAGCAATTCTACGTGTCCGGTTTGTTCCTTTTCCCTATTCACATTTTTAGTATCCTGTATCCCATAGCAAAATATTACTTGTGTATCTCCTATTGCAACTTCTCTCTAGTCTTAGTGGGGGGGAAATGAATGTTATCTTGGTTATTATTAACACTGCTTGCATACACACCTAAGCAGAGGCTAGATTCATCTTCCAAAACTGTCAAGAAAACTTTCTAGAATGGGCACAATACTTACATGTCCACATTTAATACACTGATACTGATATAGGAGAAACAAATATTTTACTGGCCTATCAAAATTAAAATTATTCCAGGTGTGTTTTGTGAGTGCAACTCTTCGAAGCCATGTTAGATATATCTGTTATTGGGCATGAAGAGACACAAGGGGTTAATCTGACATCTAGGGAATGTCTGTCCAACTTCATGGATTTTGTGCAAGGATAGATCGAGCATCAGCACCCCCAAACCTCCTCCACTGGTGTGTGCATTTTGTAGAATCTTTTCTAGGCTGCACTCTTTTTGTTTCAGAAGGACATTGATTCTGGAATTTCTGATTCTCTTGAGCTATTCTTTTTGAGTGACTTCAGCCAGTATATACAGACAAAATAATATCTAAGCTGGTCCTTAGCAGGCCTGTGAATAGCTTGCTTCTGGAAATATGGCACATTTTCCAGAGAAACTGGAAGACTGTCTTTTCTTGTGTCATCCAACTTCGCTCCATCTCCTTTCCGCCAAGTAAAATGGATTTCTATACCTGTCCAGTCTAGTACCAAATTCCTGTTCCCCATGGTTAATATATACTCTACCTTTTTTTAAATGAGTAGAGTATAAAGAAGCTGCACTTCCTGCTGCAGCTAATACTGTCCTATTCCTTTTCACCCTCTGTTTCATAGATATTAGAAGGAGGCTCCTGTCCATATTTCAAGATGATAATAGGGATCACTGAGGTATTAATTGCATTAAAAATATCACCTCACGAGGCTTTTGGCAATGGAAGATAATACAATAAAGTACGGGGAGGAGAAAGGAATGGGAGGATAATGAGAGCTAGGGGAAGCAATGTATATTAGGTGCATGATTTATTATAATCTTCAGCTGGTAGGTGATAAATCTGATTGGGTCATCTTCAAGCCATATTGGGTAATCCACGTGGGTATTCTGCCCAGTTATCTGGTTCACTGTCTTTAGTATGTGACTGCTCACGTCATGCAAGCGCTGAGCTCCAGGCACAGGTGGAACTGATCATCTATTTCTACTACTCTTTGGGGTAAGTGTAAAGTCTGTTGTACAAGGTCCTACTCTTTCCCTTACTCCCAAGACACTTAAAGAGACCGGACTCTTTGTGAAAATAAAGGGCTTTTGTCTTTTTTCCAACTTCCTCTTGAGAAACCATAAAATGCTTGGTGCTGAATTCTCTGGTTTACTCTTGTATTGGTTTATCTGATGGGACAGGGCACTGGACACCTCAGTTCTGGATGCTAGTACTCAAATCGCTATGTAACTTTTACTTCATGGTACATGAGGATGATGGCGAGTGGATATGGGGGATGTTGAGACTTGCCTGCAATCGCCTTGATTCTTGCCAATGTTTCACTTGTACAACACTGAAACGTAGTATTACATCTCTCTTATCATGGATAGGGAATGTTCAATACCTAATGACTCACGTGGTTCTCTAGGTGCTCTGGTTTTTCCCAATTTGTATTTCTCCTGAATTTTTTTTATTCAGTGTGTGGACACCTTTCCCCCCCATGTGCTATGGCCCTTATGACTTGGAAAATCCCAATAAAATAAATAATTGATTAAAAATATGGCTATTTGTTTTTATTCTAAAGCAGACCACCTACCATGTTACAAACCAAGAGGCTTGTGCGGTTTTAAAACAGATCGCAAAGGGCTGTTAGGAACTTTTTTAAGAGTAAAGAATGCCATAGGTAAGATATGCCCCCAGGGCTTTCAGAAAGAGAAGAAACCAGCTGATATGCTGCTTTCTACATTCTCTGGTATGTCTGATTAGGAATATAAAATGGGTTTTTCTACAACATGGACAGGAGTTCCATTTTAACATTAAGCTCGGTTTTCTAAAGCGTATGCCTTAGAAGACCCTAAAAACAAAGCAGCTTACTAGTGTCCGTGACTGGCCTGTGCTTCTAGATTCCTTGTAGAATCCTCAGCAATTCTGTCTTGATGTTGTGTTTTGAGTTCTTTCCTCCCCCACCCAACCTGCTACAATTGTCCACAAAGCCCAATTCCCTCTTCTATCACCGGGACTAAAGGCAGGAATGGGAAAGCCATGCTTCTGACTATTGCGTATGGCTCTCCAAAACTCTTAAGGCCATCCTTGCTGATTTCCTCCAATTTGTTGCATTTACCTTCTTGTCTTGGCAGCCATACTTTTCTGAAGTAGCCCTTAAGGAGCTGAACTATGCTAATATTCATTTTTAAAGAACCTTTGCATCAGGTGCAAGACCCGTAAGCTGGGGAGGGACCATGCACTCTTCTTCTTGCTGCTTTTTCCTACGGGTAAGTAGATGGGTGATTTGCTTAACAAATGTAAATTAAACTTGTTTGAAAAAAATCTCAGGGCAGAGGGGCAAATACATTATTGGAGATCAGTGAGTGCCTTTTTCCATCCCACTCCTTCCCAAACAAAGCTAGTCACAATGATTTGCATTTGTCACTCTTGGACTGCATGACTGTAATTCACTGTGGGATGGAAGTAATGTTCCAGTTGTCCAGAAGGTGGCAGCTAGCCTTCCGATTGTGAACAGCTGCCATGGGAATGCTTATCTCTCGTGCTCCAGATCCCTCTTAGGGCTTGTCTCTGTTATGGAGTTTTGCACTGATCTAGCTACAACAGTGCACGTTCCCAACATAGACACCTTGTACTTGGATGAAGTGTTGGCAAGCAGGGTCACTTGTACCAGTACAAGTCCTGCTTCACACTGGCATAACCTAGGGTTACCATATTTGAACGTTCAAAAAAGAGGACACTCCGGGGGGGGTGTAGGCCCGCCCCCTAGCCACTCCCTCCCAATTCCCGCCCCCCTGACTGCCCCCCACAGAACCCCCAACCCATCCAACCCTCCCTGCTCCTTGTCCCCTGATCGCCCCTTCCCGGGACCCCTGCCCCTAATCACCCCCCGGGACCCCACCCCTTATCTAAGCCTCCCTTATCTTTGTCCCCAACTGCCCCCTCCTGAGACCCCCCCACCCTACCTGTCCCCTGACTGTTCTGACTCCTATCCACACCCCTGCCCCCGCCAGATCCCCGGGACTCCCACGCCTATCCAACCGCTGCCTGTTCCCTGACTGCCCCCCCCGAACCTCCAACCCATCTAACCCTCCCTGTCCCCTGACTGCCCCAATCCCTCTCCACACCCCTGCCCCCTGACAGGCCACCCCCAGAACCCCCGACCCATCCAACCCTCCCCCTGCTCCCTGTCCCCTGACTGCCCCAATCCCTCTCCACACCCCTGCCCCCTGACAGGCCACCTGTAGCGGCACAAACAGCTCCTGCTCCCGTTTTGCTGCCGGCGTGCTGAAGCTGCAGGGGAGGGAGGGGCTTTTGCTGCCGGAGCGGCCCCAAGTGAGCGGCTCAATCTGGCGCGGCTGCCCTGTCAGCTGCTTTTGGGTCTTTAGATAGCCGTCCGGGGGGAAATCCCGGACACTTTTAGCTTTTTACAAATTCCCCCCGGACGGCTATTTAAAGACCCAAAAGCCGGACATGTCCGGGGAAACCCGGACGGATGGTAACCCTAGCATAACCCATCTAAGCTTGGAAGTTTGCACTGGTGTAA